TCGAGCAGATACATGAATTATTCTTCTTCTTCAGGTATCTTTCCGAATTAAAATGTTGGTGGCGACCATTCCAGCAATTCTCTCCCCATCGGTTGTGTGGTGAAACAACTCTGATGAACTCTTTCAAAACCATTCGTTTACACTATGGATTATTATTTTATGTATATCAAGAATAAAAGCTGATACATGTAGAATATAACTATAAAAATGTTGTAAATCACAAGTGTATGTTTTTTATATTTTACTTCCGACATCTTTGTGTTTTTATTTTATAGGGGTTCCTTTTATCGTTCAATAATATTTACGCATATACAAGTTATATTGAAACATAAAGCAAATATCGTACATAAATATCATAATATATAAATTATTTCTCAAAACTCAACATATGACCGTAAACGGTGTTAATTAATTTACACCGAACGACTGAGCATAAAAATGGCTGCAAACGACTCGTTTACCGTGTACACATACGTATGCGAGTGAATGCAAATGTTTAACGGACTACGATATTATTCATAACGTAATGTACTAAACAAAATAGTGCACACACGATAACGCCAACTATTTAAATATGTATAATAAAAATAGTGCACGTGTGCACGTTTGTGTGTGTGTGTGTGTGCGATACACCGGCGTAATTTTGCATCACACGCAGGACACGAGACGAAGAAGTCAATGGTCGAGTCGGTGGTGAACACTGTCCGCGGCGAAAATTTCCACGTTTACCGTGCGGAATCGATGAGCACACAAACCCTGACGTGCCTTTGTACCCTTGTAATGGTCCGTACACACCGTCCCGTCGTTCTGCCACTACCCTCTAGCGCTCGCAGGCCCGCGCACACAAACCGTCCACATCCGTAAACTGCTTGGATCGCGCATTCCTCTACGACCAATTTTCGGTCCCGCACACGCGTGGGCGGGGAAACACATTCACCTGGCCCGAAATTCGTGTTAATTAACCGTACGGTTTACGATGTTCCCGGCCTCCGGACGACCAAGTCCTCGTGTTCGGTGGGAGTTCCCCGTCGGGTTTATTGGACGCGGTGAAATATGTGCTCCAAACGATAATTACTACACTACGTAATGCGTTACGCAAGTCGTTGAAGTTGTGCTCGCGAGAAAACGATAACTCAAACGGACCGAGCGGATCGGATGATTTCACTGTCGAAACTATCGTTTATTTATTTATTTTTTTATGAATCAACATACCGTTATTTTCGCGATAAATAGTGCCGCCGCTAAGTTATCAGTACTCTGGTGAATACATTTTATGGCTAGATATCAAACGTCAAATTCACTTAATCGAAGTTGTGCGACAAAATTCACTAAAATATAGCGAATTAATTAAAGACAAAAAAAAAATCACATCGAAAATGCAAAACATAGTTTATTTAGTATCCAAACTTAATTTAAACACTGAATTCACGAATTAATAATATAAATAATCGTTATTATACTACCGAATTACCGCATAATTATTCTACGTATTAAATTTTAACTAAAAAACACATACACATATACTTTTGAAAATAATCAGTCATCGATTTTTGCTTAAGCTTCAACAACATAATATCGTATACATTTATACGTAGATAAATTATCTCAACTACTGTATATTCAAATAATTTGTTTGAACTTTATTTATTAATTTGTTTGATGTACTGTGCGACTATGTCATTAAAACCAATTCTCTATAACACTTTATGTTTGAGTTTAAATAGTTGTATGCAAAATGCATGCCATTCATTTGAAAATGTATTCAAGCTCTTTACAGAGAATAATGAATAGTTTTAATAACCATCACTGACACTAAATATATATATTTATATATAGTGACTAATAAACTAAATAAATTAACTACGTAATATAGTCTATGATTTATATAATTTTTAAGGTGTAGATGAATAATACTGTTGGCCATCATTGGAGCTAAACGTAATTACCGTTTATAAGATGAACATGTCAGTAAATAAAACATATATATATACATCGGCACAAAATTTACCATATGAAATTGTGTACAATACATATTTTAATAGATACCTAGTTTAAATGTTTTTTTTAATACGTATTAAAAAAAATTCAAAATCACCGTATTAAAAGACTTGGGATACATAAAAACACATACTCAACATTTATCAGTATAATTTTATGTACTTTTCAAATTGACTAAATGTATGATCCATTATTGTGAATATAATTTAAATAATACTAATTAATAACATCAGATAATTTCAAAAACAGAAACAATGAAATACACCATCAATTTCCCTTAAGCAAATGTTTTCTACATGGAACATTTTCTTTTGGTTTGTATAAATATATATATATATATATATTTTTTTGTTGATTCTTAATGTTTGTAAATTTGTATGTAGTTTTAAAATAGTATACCATGTAAAGAGTAATAATATCTTATTTATAATTTCAAAATGTGTGTCTTGCAATGTAATTGAAATCCAATTAAAATGTATTTCCTAACGATACTCTATAATATACTGATAATATAGTGTTGTCATATAGCAGGGGAGGCCAAACGGTCGATCGCGAACAATTTCAGAGTCGATCATGTTAGAATTTATTTTTAGGTCACGTGCACGAAAATTAATCGTGATGGTTATGAACAAATTGTCGATAAGTTTTATTTGTATAGTTTTCATATTTTACTCTGGTTTATAAAAATTTTTTCCAAGAAAGTCGATCTTAAAAGTGAAGTATATTTTTAGTAAATCGTGACCCAAAAAATGTTGGCCATCCCTGTCATATGCTGATACTTACAAATATAAATTAAATCAATGCTAAAAAAATATTTAATGAAAACATAAACGTTCTCAAATTGTCGTTTATTAATGACACGGAAGTTATAATCAACAAGTGTCGGTAATGACTCGGTAAAATAAGGATGTAATTTTTAACGTGCATATTATATTATATTATAATAATAAGTGTGTATTTATGCATTTTTAATACATCACATCTTTTATTTTTAATGAATTTTAAATAAGAGATAAAAATATTTACTGTCTAAAGTATTCTAACAACGTCTTTATCGTCATAGCCTGTTAAATTTACTTGCAGACGCGTATAGTGGTAATCGACTTTTAATTTTTATTGCGATTCTCTCTTTTTTTCTTTTTCGCTGTATCGCTACTAACGGCATTTCATTATTATTATTATTATTATTATTATTATTTACATAGTAGAAACTGTTACCGAGTTATTATACACTCAATTCAACGCGACTTTAGGGGAATGCCATTTTTCCGGAAATTAAGAGTGAAAAGTTTTATTTTATTAAAAACTCTGTCGCTTTCATCCTAACGACTTCTCTTTCTATTGTGCACAGAAACGGAGAGAAAAGTACACCGAGAAAGGAGACAAGGAATGGTGGCCCATTTTATCTCTTGAAAAACAATAAAATAAAATATAATTTAATTCAAACATAAAGAATCAGACAAATAATTTTTCATTTGCAACAGTTTTCAAAATGTATATTGGTGCTAGTACAGACTGAGTTTCCTTTTCACTATTGTGCACTTTATGGGTACACCGCTTTTACCCTTTCATCTAATTATCGCAATATCCACCAGGTCGATCAAAAAAAGGTATCGCGTCCATAATAATAAACTTACTCGGGAACTGAACTGGACAATGGTTTTTCAAACATAACTTTTTTCTTTGAGTTCGTTCCCGCACTATTTGTAAGTGCACAACTGTTGTCCTCCGATTTTACTTGTATATAGGTACCTAACCTATCTGTACATCGTTGACTAAACTTTACATTTAATTATACCCCATAAAAAATGGTCGAATTCATTAACAATTCTTTGAAATAACATACATAAAAATCTACTGCATTTGGATGACCGTAAAATAATTTAATAAATTAGAAAAACAAATATTGTTATACAGTGTACCTACAGTAATAATTTTTTAGATTTACCACTTTTAAAGTCTTGCAACTAATTAAAATAACTATCATACAGAATAATATGGCAAATCATCGACAATCTTTATCGATCTATAAAAGATTAGGTGTAATGATCTATAATTGAACACTTCAAATTTTATTTAAAAAATTACTTTATAGATTAGTTACGTTGAAAAAAAATATTGATGTTGATGAGAAGTAAAATTCGATGTTGCAAGATTGATAGGTGAAATATTGATATTAAATTACGGATGGATATAAATAATTAATATTTAATAGGGATTTAATTAAATTAATCTTTCAGCAGACATTTTGACCGGAAATCGTATACATAAAATTATATTTTATAATTATGATATGTATATTATACCATAATTCTACGTACTTCGGTTTTATTTGTGGCCTCATAAGATAATATCTTTTGTAATTTTCCGAAGAAGGTTGCCAACTCGTACTAAAGTGTTTGAATTATTTTTTCTTTCACAAGGTTAAGTAACTTAAAAAATGTATAGAACTAGTTATAGTTATAGTTATAGTGTTCTAAATGTATTGGATGTACTTAATTTATAATTCAATTACACATCTAGTATTTTGACAGGAATAATTGTGTTACTATTGGAAAAATATAGTACCAGTTTCTAGATTTCAATTTATTATATCTTTGATAATCCTTCTAAATTGAATTGGTAAAGAAGAATGAAATTGGATTTTAGATGTAATTATATGAATTGGCTTTGACATAAATAAGTTCTATCGGTAACTGTTTTCCGTGTCAATTACGAATACTAAAACAAAATAAATGTAACGATACTAACTTTGTAGATATTAAATTATTAAATATTGTATACAATTTGGAGATATAACTGCTTTGATTTTTCAAGTATTTTAAATATGATAAACCAAAGTTTCTTAAAAAATAAAAATAAAATGGATTTATTTAATACTATATGATTTCATATTTTTTTCAATGGATAATCAAAATACATATTAACTATTTTTAAAAACTTCTAAAACATGAATTGAATATTAAAAATAAATAAGTCATCTAAATTTAATTGGTACTTACGATTGATTATCGATACAGTAATTAGTTAATAACACGTTTCACGATTCTGAAAAAAAAAAGTATGAATATAAGCAATGGAAAAAAGTAGAGATGTAAGCTCGGTAAATTTTTACCGCGTAAATTTACCGGTAAGGTAAATTACCAGTAAATTTACCAATTATTTTTTTACAGGTAAATATTATTTTACCGAAAATATTAGCATGCGACACCTTAAATTATACGTCTTAACGAGATGAATATTCTAAATATATTAATATAATGGAATAGTTGATATAATATATCTTAAAACGTCAAACGTTCAACATGCTCACAACTATTGATAGTGTATTACACTGTTACACTTACATTACATATTATCATACCAGCAATAATTATCGCTATTAATAGTATGGTTGTAGACATAATATTTATTTACAGCCGTGCTATTAATAAATTTGATTTTATTGACATCGGCACATCGCGGCCTATGGACTATGACAGTATCATTTGATTCATGGCTGTAGATACTATTATCAACTTTTATTATTTAAAACTTATTGATTTTACATTAATTTGTTTAATAGTTTACTTTTTATTTAATTTGTGTCATTAAATATTAAAAAAGTTAAAATGAAGCCGCAAGAAATTAAAATACCATAAACACCACACTATCCAGTAAATAATAAAAATAAGCATTACAATAATTATAAGTTCATGGAAAAATGAAAGTGAGGAGTTCCAAGGGTGTTCCTATGGCGACATACAAAAATTATCAAAATTTACCAAATTTACAGAATTTACGTAAATTTACGTAAATTTTACATCTCTAGAAAAAAGTCATTTTTAGGCCATTTTTGATGGAAACAGTTGGTATATAACTTATTTTTGGTTATTAATTTATTTGATTGATGGTTATTTCTAAATTATAGTACTTATTTACTATAATAGTATGTCCTTAAATTTCAGTAAGCTAAATAAACTTTTAAGGGAAATATTAGATATTGCATCCTATATACATACGTATATTATCATAAACATCAAACTTTTGATTTAATACAAGTTGCATCATCTAACGGTCGATAAGCCATTATTTTTTAAATAATCTAAATTTTATCAACATTCATTCTTCGCTGCATAAATATTATATTCTCATTTTTATTATATAAAATTTACCTGCATTTAAAATAGATAAATACCTGATTTTATCATATTTTATCATGTATGCATTGTAATTGCCGAACCGTTATAGTTTTAACTTATAGTTATTTAAATAAGAAAAAATAAAAATAGAAATAATTTTTAAATTAGTTATTATATTATTAAAATATCACGCATAGTATGCTCATGATTAATATTTTACTATAACATTTTAAATTGTATTATTTCCAAACTTGATTTAAGTTACGAATGTTTGTACCTACATAGATTTCTCATACTTTTTGAAAAATCATATCATCAAAATATATCATTATAGTTTTATATTAAATACCTACTGATAATAATTTGTACATTATAAAATAACAACAATTAAACCGAAGAACTTTTATTTAATAATTATTTGTAAAGGATTTTTATATCGTTTACTTAATACGCAATCGAAACGTTGCCTTCATTTCGTATAATAGTAATAAATATTAAGAAAGATAAGAGACCGAACTTTAAAACCTTATTGTCATCTATCCTTTTGAACTTTTTGATTGGATGACATATGGAAGTTTTTTGTTAAATTTAAGTTTTTATGCATTATCTTAGAAATTATTTTGTACATAGTTTTATGAAATATTTGATTATTCACAATCTAAATTATTTTTGAATCAAATTTTGTACAATGAATCTAGTAACATCATTTACAGCTAGAAATAAATCCAACCATGTATAACTGTATATCGATCAAATGCAAAGCAAAAACCACATTAAATAATACCAACTTATTGGAATAATATAAAAAAATATTCATATAAAAGATACAGAATTACTCATTATTAAAAGTTCGAAAATACAAGTGGCAAAAAAAAAAAATGTCGATCGTGACAAAAAATAATTTAAAAATAATATACTGTTGACTGAAGAATTTCTTTCGATTTTGCAATTGGTAACCAATTGCTTTCAAAATTATTCTCCCTATGAATGTTTAATGTGTTTTTATCAAATAATCTATTCAGACAGTTTTTAAACTATGAATGTATCATACAATTAAAACAGTATATTAACAATAAGTAAAACTAATCGAATATGTTTTAATGAGATAATAGATATGTTAATCTCAAATACATTTGAATTCTATTTAAATAGAATTTGAATATGTGCACATATAGTTAAAAATAAAATATAAAAGTAGTCTAAAAATAATTTCTTAGATTATTTAACGGCTTTTTATCAAAACTAAAATATAGTATTCAGCGTCAAGTACCTAAAATTTTATCAACCTGCGCAAAGTACACGAGAAAATCTGCCTAAAAAAAAAAAAATTAATATATTTTATTGTTATAACAATACGCAAGATAGTTTGATTATTATTAAGTATAAATCCAAAGACCTTGGAATACATGATTACTGTTTTGAAAATTGTATTCATCCATTTCCAAACACTAACTTCCGTGGCCCCAAAACGCCGAGAATTGTTGAATCTCGTGCTACACAAGTTTCAATCGTTACCGGAGACAATTTAAAGAGTTTAGCTGATGATCCGAAATGCGCTCACTACACCACACACCTTTTCCACAAATCACGATCACTGCGTTACGTTCGTTTATCGCGATCAAACGGTAGATCGTTCATCATTGGTAAAACACTAATAGCTATATAAATTATAATAATAGCTAAGCGGAGTTTATAGTTTGTAGTTTATCGTAAATCTAAACCTAACGAGGCCTAAGCGCACGATGAGTCGTGTGACAGACAAGTTTATTGGTCAAAGCAGATATCTGAGCAATTGCACGTGAGGGGTGTGTAGTGCGTGGATTTTTTGTATCAAGCAGAAGCGGATAATTTGTACGCACGGTTTATTAAATATGTATTTAAATTACCGGCTACCTGATAGCGTAACAAACATCGTAGCGCAGCCGTGTTTTCGCGGCGTGCGATAAAGTTATAATTGCGCATTCCTTTTGATAGACGACGATGCCTCGCGAAGAACTTTTTAAGAAGTCGAAATCAGCATAACGAGCGCACGGGAACTTATTTGATATTTGTTGTAGCTGTTAGTTAATAATTATGCGTGCCATATAAAACCACGGTTACCGATGTAAATAAAACTTTTCACCCACCCCCATGAGTCTACATTATACCTGTAAGATTCCGTTTAATTTCCCGTCTCCCGTCACGTTTCGCGAGATTACCATCCATGTGGAATAACAATATACGTTGGGGCTCGCGCCCCGAGATCCATCTAAATGTTCTTGGATGGCTTCGCCATCAATCGCACGCAGCACCAGACACATATCGTGTTCGCAAAACGATAAAACGATCACGCCCCAAGCGCAAACTTAGAACTTTATGCACGTAAGACATCTACACCTACAAGGCTTGCGGGTACTCAACATTATTCGTCAACGTTTGAAAATCTATCCGTTCAGGGAATCGATTACAAACATAAACTCTTGCGTCCGACGCAAGCGGGCGTAATACATTTGGCCGAATTTTTAAAAACTGCAATGTGTTTGAGAAATTTATCATAATGCGTTTGGGCGACTTTTTTTAATATTATGGGATGCTAAAATACTTATTCATCCATTTTCCCTCTCATTTCTGTACATTTATAATTTTACCTGTTAAATCAAGACACAATTTTTTATTTCTAACCACATAGAAATATAATGATCTTCAGATTTTGATGTCAAAAATGCATTTACTACGGGTATGTAATAATTATGTTTGAAGATGTGTATTGTATATAATTGATAAAAGTAATTAGGAGCATAACTAAATGTCCCATCTCCAAAAACGTTTTCAGATTCACAAAGATGTTTAAGTTTTCAGAACATGTAAACAAAATAATTTGTTTTTTTTGATTGACGAAATAAAATTGTTCATTATTAGTTTTAAATCCACTAGAGTTTCAAACAGTTGATTAAACGCTTCATTAGTAGTTGTTGGAATTTTGGGAAAATATTTTATACGAATCCTATAAGCCGATTCTCTCAATAATTTAATGTCATTATGAACTATTACCTCCTTAAAAACGAGATTAATGTCTTGAATTTCCTTACGTATAATCTTATTTGGTTTCGCATGTAAGTCTTCTTCGGCTTTCCTTTTGATAGCGGTTCTAACACACTGAACAGCTAAATTATGATTAGTAGTTGGTTCGTGATTATGTATATTATTATTTGAAAAAGATAGTATTTTATCGACATTAAAATTCACTAAAATACTCTCAGTACATTTTCTGTTAGTACACCGAAAACGAAAAGACCCATTTTTCAAGTGGTTAGTTTCACTAAAAATATAATTTTCGATTGAAATGCATTGTTTATTTCTTTTTGTATTAAAAATATAACCAATTTTAAAACCTATAATATTAAATAACTTAACAAGCTCACTAACACTACAATACAACTTCACGTTTTCAGTGTTCAAGCAAACTGATATTTGAAAATATGATAGAGTTACCTATACTAAATAGTTGACGACCTCTGCAATAAGACTGTACCATAATTAGGTTGATATAAAATTCCCTATATAATAATATTTTTATCTTAATCTTTATAATTTTATCTTTTATATTGTCTCGCTCAAACATTATAAGAAACTCGCCGAAACGCATTGATTATATTATGCGGGTAAAAAGGCAATTCGTCCAAACCGCCGACTCAAGCATAGCAATGAAACGATAAAATTCCGTCCGTTTCGAGTAAACGGCACGGGTCCACCTGGACACCCGTAGCTACTGCGGTTCTCTCGATAGCTCGAAAACGCGTTTAGCTACATAGTAGTTGGGATTACAATGTTCGACCCCTATCGGTCGCTTTCACTTCTGTTGATTCGTGCGACAGGTTTGATTAAAAAAAAAAAAACATCACACGCGCACAAGTCGTAAGTCGATGACACGTCGTTCACGGACGAAGA